TCTCCTTTATCTGAATTTTTTTAAAAAGAAATAAACACATTTCCTCATAACATTACAGAGCTATAATTCTGATTTAGAAGAAAAAAATTATCTTAAAATTGCATGTTCAGAAAGTGAACGTAGAAAGAGCACCATATACAGAGTATTACTCCAGTTGTTTGGTTTTCGAAACAACTCATTTAGAGGATGAGCTGGGAGGACACCTGCTAACTACTAACACAGTATCATCTTGAGGCAGCAGCAATGAGGATGATTCTGACATTCCTATCAACATACACCATGGTACATTATTCTATTGTCTTTTTGGGGGGGAGGGTACCAGGGATTGAACTCAGGGGCACTGGACCACTGAGCCACATCCCAGCCCTATTCCCTATTTTGTATTTTATTTAGAGACAGGGTATCACTGAGTTGCTGAACACCTCACTTTTGCTGAGGCTGGCTTTGAACTTGAGATCCTCCTGCCTCAGCCTCCCGAGCCACTGGGATTACAAAAGTTTATTGAGCCCTGGTGCCATGTCTTGCATGTACTGGGTATTTATTCACACATGCCATGACATTTAATGTCCCATCAGCCCCTGAGGTGAGTGGATCACTGCGAACCCATTTTACAGGTGAGGAAGTGGAGACTCAGGCAAAGCTACTTGACCCATGCCTGGCAAATGACAGCCTCAGGCAGATGTGGTCTGGCCTTCCTCTGTAGTGAGGAGTGGGTTGTCATCAGATAGGATCCACTGTCAGACAGGATGTCTCCAAGAAGAGCGGCCAGGAGGTGGCCCCAGGCACCTGCCCTCCCTGGTGGCTGCAGCTTGGCTGGCACCCAGTGGGGAGCCAGAGGGGAGTCCCACTCAGCCACTTCCAGAAGGCTGAGATGGCTAGGGGAAGGGAAGGGGAGAAGGCTGTCAGGCTGCAGCCTGGAGGAGCTGCTCACGAGGAGCGGTGAGGAATTCAGACATTGACGCCCTGAGCAACAGGCTGTGGGGAGACTGCTGAGAGGGAGGATGACGTTAAGAAATGTCATGCTGCCCCGTGAATCGGGTCTCACGCACCCTCAATGAGCCTCTAACCACCTCAGGCTCCTAGACTGAGCTCCTCTGGGAGGGTCGTCACTCTAAGAACAAACCATGCCTGCCCTGAAATCTGCTTGTGTTTACGTAGACCCGTCTCTTTTTCTTAATCAAAGACATCGGCGTTGAGCATGAGATAATGTTACAATGAGTACAGAAGTACACCCGGGGCTCTGCAGGGTTGAGAAGGATCACTCCTTAAGAGGGAGAAGGGTGTGGGGAGCAGTGATTAATCTCATTTCTCCGGGAACCCATTGCCATTCCTCATTTTTCTTTCTTTCTAGACCAGTATTTGGCGAAAAAGAAAGGCCCCGTACCCACAGGGTTTGCAGGAGGCTGTGGGCTTATGCTCTGCCCAGGATCACAGGTCTCAGTGAGGGGGGAGGAACCCAAACCGTTCTGACTCCCTTTCGCCCGTGTGCGTCAACTTGACCTGGAGCAGCGTCCCACCAGAGGACAGGGCACCAAGTGAGAAGGCACTGCTGTTTGCCGATCTGCTGATCGCACATCTCCCGTGGTGGACGGGCCTTCAGGAGGACAGGAACGTGTCTGCATAGCTACAGATCCCTAGCACCTAGCGCAGCTCCCACCACTGACAAGGCACTCAATAGACATCTGTTGAGGAGTGAAAGGGGGACTGACACCTGGGAACGCAGCAGCTTTTCCTGGAAAACTCTGGCCTTTGCCACGGGCGTCTCTTCTTTAGTGTAAGGGTTAGATCACCCTGGCTCACCAGCCCAGAGCAAAACGACCAGGAGAAGAGAACCACAGAGCTGAATCCTAAAAGGGCACAAAAGGGCCTAGCTTCTCATTTATTCTCATCTCTCTCTCTCTCTCTCTCTCTCTCTCTCTCTCTCTCTCTCTCTCTCTCTCTCACACACACACACACACACACCACGCACACGTCTGCACGCACACAATACACCACACTAGTGTACTAGAGAGACAGACCATCCATCTGGCCAAGATAATAGGGCTAAAGACAGCATCCCTAAAATTATTTTTCCATTAATAATAACAATTAGTATCCAGCACTGTGTTCTGGGATTGTTTGCTGTGTACCACTTCGTTTACAGGTAGCATTATTTTATGTCTATTTTCTAGAAGAGCAAACTGAGACTTGGAAGGGTTAAGTGCTTTGTTCATGCTCCACAACTGGCCAGTGGTGAAGACCAGGCTTAGAGCCCCTCAGCCTGCTGCCTGCCCGCCCACTCTGCATGCTCCCAGGGAGCCTCCCCATGGGTCTTCAAATTGCCAGGATTACTGGATTAAAAGGCAGATTCCCAGAATCAAAGTGGAGCAAATTATGTACTATGCATTTGTGAAAATGTCAAAATGAACCTCATAATTACATAAAACAAAAATGCACTAATAAAACATAAATTGGTTTAAAAGTCCCCAAATGCTGATTCCCAGGCCTTGGGGCTGAAGTTATCAGAATCTCTGGGAGGTAATTCTGGAAATCTCCACCTTGTGTGTGTGTGTGTGTTACCAGGGATTGAACCTAGAGCAGTTAACCACTGAGCCACCTCCTCAGTCCTTTTTATTTTTTATTTTGAGACAGGGTCTCCCTAAGTTGCCTAGTGCTTCACTAAGTTGCTGAGATTGGCTTTGAACCTGTGTAAGTCTCCAATTTTTTAACCACTAACCTACGTAGTTTGGATGTACACTAAAACTTGTGAACCAGCACTCAGATATGCTGCATCCCCCTTGTGATAATACAGAATCTCTAGCACCCCACCCCCACTTCTTAGCAACCAATGGACGTGGAAGATCAGATAAAGAATGAAGGGAAGGAGGGAGCCGGAAGGAAGGAACTTGCCCCCAGTTAGTCTCCATTCTAGTTAGGGGGTGTGGGGGGGGGGAGTCAGCTCTGCTCTTCTGGCTTTGGGACCAGCAGCTTCCCCAACTGCTCAGGGGCCCCTCTGTAGCCAGTGATGCCTGCCCAGGAAAAGCAGATTAAGCAGCCTGTACCAGCAACAGCAATGGGGTGACATCTAGCTGTATCCAGGACTCAAACCTGAGTGCTGTTCCCTACCCAGATCAGGACACTGCTGCTCAGGGTCAGCTCCCAGTGGGCAGGCTGCAGGGGAAAAGTCAACCAACAGACACATGACGGGAGGAGAAACAGAGAGCAGACCTCTAACTCCAAACGGGCCACAGGATGTTAGAATAATGGAGAAGTTTCCACGCTGCAGGAAGTGGCCTGAGGATGGGGCTTGCTGAGTCTCCCAGGGGATGTCCTCCGCTGGTTCTCACCAGCAAAACAAGGGGCCACCCTGGATCTCAGTCTCCTCTTTGTAAAAAGAAAATAGCCATTATTATTGGAAGCCTATTAATACTGTCATCTATGATTCAGTGAAAGCTTTTTGTGCATCAGACACTGTCCTGAGTCAATCAGTCAATCTTCCTTACAAATATCTATGAAGTCGTTTTGATCTCATTTGACACATGAAGAAGGCTAAGCCAGTGAGCTACCTTCAGGTAGCCCGTGAGGCTGAGATCTGATCCCACATCTGATCTGAGATCAAAGCTTGTCCTAATAACTACTCATTGCTTCACCAATGTCCCTCCCACTTATGGTTTTTAAGATTATTTGCCCCAAACAGCAGGTGTTCATGGTTTCAAAGGGAGGAGGTACCACTGTGTCTCCCCAGCCCCACATCCTCAGCCCTGGTGGGGAACTGCCAGTTCATCTGGCAGCAACTCAGCAGAGACCTCACATGTGAGTGCACAGGGGCCCCAGAGCTCTCTCTCAGTCTGACCAATAGATCAACTCTCAGCCTGACCAAGTATGGCTCAGAAAAGCAGATTCCTATGCTGTCATCCACTGCCCAAGTGTCTAGACTGAAGAGACCCTCTGTACAATGGGTGGCATGGGGGTTTCAAGGGCTACAGGGCTTCCTGGAAGACCCAGACCCCTGAGCTGGTCCCCACTCTAACCTCCCCTCCTATCATCTGTTCTTCACTTATTCCTACTTCTATCTCTTCTTCAAACAGGCCACTCTCATTCCCACCACACCACAGGGCCTTTGCACTGCCTGTGACCCCTACTTAAAAAAGGTTTATTCTTTCTACCTAGAAACAGCATTCCCCAGATCTTCATAAGCCTTCCTCCTCCTCCTTGTCACTTATATCTCAGATCATGATCCCCTTCTCAGGGAGGCCTTTCCTGACTGTTCATCTAAATTGGCACCCTGAATCCTTTCCTGCCCATTACCTCTCCCTGCTTAGCTTCCTTCATGGTGTTTAACACCATGTGAGACAATCTTACTCATTATGTGCTGATGTGCTAAGAAAGTGCCTTGCAAATGGTAGGCTCTCCGTGTGCATACGTGTGTGTGCGTGTGTGTGTATGTGTGTGTGTCTGTGTGTATGTGTGTGAGTGTGGTGTGTGTGCTGTGTGAATGGAAAAATGAATGAACGAAATCTTACTCACTTTGTGGTAGTCAGGATCCAGGAACCCGTATTCAAGTGTCCCCCTCCTTCTGGTTAACAAGGGCAGAGACCACAGAGACAGCACTGAGCTTGGTAACAACTGCACCACCACCCAGGAGCTGTGTCCACACACAGCTGGGCATTGTTCCAAAGATAAAAAGGCACTAATTGCTTTTCTATAGGGAGGTAGGAACACAGTCCCTCCAGGTCCCTTCATCCTGAGGGTCTGCATTGTCGGATCTGTTACTATGTTAATTAGTCCTGCCTCACCCAGCCAGCGTGGGCTTCATCCTGCATGTTGGGGATGGTGACAGGTTCCTCTACAGAGAAGACAGGTACCAGAGCGGTGCCTGTGTGCACATCTGTGCAGGCGGAAGTGTGTGTGCGTGCATGTGTATAAAGCGGCACATTCTGGGAAGGGTTAACTGGCAGCCAGGCTGCTCAGGGACCTCAGACTGGCCAGGCACGGGAGGGGTGGGCCTGGAAGGTGGAGCAGGCTGGGCTCACACCAGCTGCCTTTCCACCACAGGAGTGCAGATGCCTGCCCAGCTGGGGCGCAGAGCTCAAGCTGCCCTTAGGGATGGCTGAAGGAGGGCACACCTGGACACGGCTCCCTCCCTGCCCCTCCAGGCAGGGTGCACCGAGGAGGCTGTCAGGAGAGGAATGAGCCTGGAGTGAGCGATCCACCGGCTCTCCGGCACTTGGAGAGCAGCAGCAGGCAAGGATGGACGTGGTCGACAGCCTTCTCGTGAATGGGAGCAACGTCGCTCCCCTCTGCGAACTGGGGCTCGACAACGGGACGCTGTTCTGCTTGGATCAGCCCCGGCGCTCCAAAGGTAGGTGCCAGAAGTGATTCTTTTAATTCAGAAAACTACTGAGTTCAGGGAGAAGTCAGCACAGGCAAGACTGATAAAGAAAATATAATAAAGTCATTGTGAGACAGAGTCATACGTGCCAAAGTCTGGCTAGAAGACCAAAAGCAGACAAAAGTCAAAAGAGTGGTATTGTGTGTCATGGGAGAGTTGGAGACGCGTGTGCAGGACAGGAAGGGGACAAAGGCAGCGTGAGGCAGAGCTGAGAGCAGCAAGAAAGGAGAACAAGTGTAGAAGCCTGGACTTACAAGCCGGACAGAAAGGGCACTGTCACAATTCAGCAGTGGCCTTTTCTTGGGGAAACCCCGGCGTGAAGAAGCAATTAAAGCAAAATAATGGTCAGTGTCTAGGAGAGAAAGCCATCACAATTCAGAAGTGTTGTCCTTAAGAAAAAGGGTTTCCCGGGGCAGCTCTTTTAACAAACCAACCTTTTAGAAGCAACTGAATCACACGGTGCTTTTCTCAGTTTGTTTCTGCAAAAATGATGGATGTCAGTTCGGGACTATTTGGGTTTGAAGATGCCCACCCCTGGGGGCACAGGTTGGCCGGAAGGAGCCATCCGCTTGGTGCGCTGAGGTTTTAACATTCTGCTCCCATCACCTCGTCCCTCCCGGCAGAGTGGCAGCCGGCAGTACAGATTTTCCTGTACTCCTTGATATTCCTGCTCAGCGTGCTGGGGAACACGCTGGTCATCACCGTGCTGATCCGGAACAAGAGGATGAGGACCGTCACCAACATCTTCCTGTTGTCCCTGGCTGTCAGCGACCTCATGCTCTGCCTCTTCTGCATGCCCTTCAACCTCATCCCCAACCTGCTCAAGGATTTCATCTTCGGGAGTGCTGTCTGCAAGACCACCACCTACTTCATGGGTGAGTTGCTGCAGGTGACTATTTCTAGAGTTCTCCCCAGACCCCTGCTCAGCCCAGAGCTTCCCAAGCCCTGGTAGCCAGGGCAGGGGAGCCTCGTTGAGTTTGAAAACACAGAGCACGTGGCTGTGTCCGGCTGTGCACAAGGACAAGGACGCTGGCAATGGCTAAATGGTAGGACAGTCCTCGCACATCTCCAGAAGTTGGTTCCTTGTCGTGTGTCAGAAGTTGATGTGGAAACACAGAAGGGGTTGTTGTTTCTGTTCTGTCTTCAAGTTTCTGTTCTGTCTGTGCCTTTCTGGATGCCATTCATCGTATTCTGATCTCTTCCCAACTTGAACTTGGGTCAGGGCTTCGAGGGATGGTAAGGGTCATGGAGGAGGGTTCTCTGAGGTTGGGCCTCTTATTTTCTTAGGGAACGAGGTTATTTTGAGCCAGTTTTATCACAGGTCAAGTTTTTCTCTCAGGATTCACTTCCCAGACTGTTCCCCCTCATAGGGCTAGGACCTGCTCAGGCAGAGAGAGAGTCTCTGTCCCTGAAGAGGAGTAGAATGTGTTCTGGGGGCAGTGGTCAATGAAATGACCCTGACTGGCTAGGATAGTGCAGCTCTCTGCTAATGCAAATCAAAATTAAAATGACAATTATTGAACAAATCTCAAGAGCTACTATCTTGTGGGTGCTTTTAATGCATCCGATGTTGTGCTAATTGCTTTTATTTCCATGGTCCTATTTTATCTTCCAACTACCCTACGGAGTAAATACAGTTATTCTTCCCTTTCTCATCAGGAAGGAACAGAGCATAGAGAGTCAAAAATGTGCCTGAGGACACACGGGCGCTAAGTGACATAGCAGGGATTTGACCCAGGTTAGCGGCCACCACAGTGTGAGCACACAGCATTAGTTTGTCAACTTCTGCAGTTCTCCTGAAGCTGAAAAAAAAGAAAGAAAGAATGTGTTTCTTGGTTCCCTGTGTCTGCCAGATTGCCTTGTCCCTTGCCTGTTGTGCAAACTCATTGAGAGAAAGGGAGAAATGGAAATGAGAGGGGATTTGTTTTTAGTTCTGACCCAAATCTTATAAAATATACAGCACTGAGCTGGTGAGGGCAGTCCTCAATGACTGGAAAGCTTTAAAAGCCTTTATTTTTCCCAACTGAGGAAGCAGGATTCAGTACAGACAAAATGAAGATGAATTGCTGAGCCTCGTGCCAGGGACAAGTAACCAAGAACACGTCAGCCGAGTCCAAGGCCGACTATGAACTTATCATTTAGAAAAGGACTTACAAATGACAAGGATCACTGTTAAGCAGTGAAGCGCTAACAATAACGAACATTTCAGAGTGCTTTACATTTGCAAGTCCTGTCCACGTACACCGTAGGGTCCTTCTGTTTGAGAACCTTCCTCAGAGTGCATGAAAGATCGAAAGGGAGCCCTTGCTTTCATGGTTGCACAACGTTATGAGCACCAGGAAAGGGTTTGTCTTTAAATGGTTAACCTTGTGCTATGTGAATTTCACTTGGCTTCTAATAAGAAAACTTTTAAATTTTTAAAAATTACAGTAGGAAAAAAAAAGAAAAATTAAATAACCAAAATAGGAAATCAAGACAATTCAGAAAGTATTTGGAATGTCATATGACTTTGTTAGATTTTTAATTTCAGCGATTTAGAGTCTTCTGTCGAATTTGTGGTCTCCTCAATATCAACAATGAATACTCATTAAACTACTAATTTGTAGCAAAAAGAAAGAAAGAAAAGAGTGCTTGCCCGGCAGTGTGAAAGTGGGTTTTACAGTTACCCAGTGTGACCCATTACACAAGCTGATAGAGTTTGGGGCTGTCCTGTCCACTTTCATGTTGTTCTGTAGGGTGACAATGGTTTGGGGATTGATAGAACTTCTTTAAGACTCTAAGGACAGCTAGGCTAGGCTCCCTAGAAAAAAGAATTTTTGTACATAGCTAAAGATAATTAATTTATATCCATACACATGGTAAGTTGCCAGGTTAAGAACCTCTGTTCCTAATTCTTCATTAATTCTGAGATTTAAGAAATCATAGTGGGGTTGAAGGCCTAGCTCAGTGGTAGAGCACTTGCTTAGCATATCCAAGACCCTAGATTATCGCCAGCACCAAAAAGAAAAAAAATCATAGTAAGAGGAAATGATAAGAGTTGACAGAAGTCATAGCTGAAGGGTTCAAGGGTAATTTAAAGACATTATAATAAACATATATACATAATATAAAAATTATGGGAAATTAAGTTTTTTGACTATGACCAAGAACATGTTTTGAAGTGAGATGTATTTCCCACTATAATGGTGATGTACACTTAATAAAATACAGAAAAACAAAAGAACAAAAAGGAAAACCCTAGTTCTCTCATCTGTAGAAATCTTTAATTGTACTATAGAACATTTCTCTTGCATTTTTTTACTGAATATTTTTTTTCAACAAACTACATTTTAAAATGTAGGATGTTTCAGTCTTTAAAATAACAAGCACTAGAGCCTTCAAAAAATTAATGCTTCTAGCTCAAATCCCAGTGACCTTTTGGGTCAGAGCCCTGAGAGTCTTGGGTTTTTAAGGTTAATTTAACCAAACAGATCATGTGTAAAATCAGAGCTTTTCTTTAGGTTTCTGTGTAGGGGGGCGCCATATTTTTATCCCCCTGTTATTAATTAATGAGCACCCTCAGCCTAGGCAAGAGTTCAATTGCAATCAAAGCTCAATAAACTTATCTCAACATTGGCAGGGAGATGTATTTGCAAATACATTTTGTTAACTGCCTTAAATCCTTTCAGAACAAAGCTGGGAATAGATCATCTTTCTGAAATATGCATGCACAGTATTTCTTTACCCCTGGAGCATTCTCCTTTGAGATTAGACCTGTGCAGATCAGATATGCTTTATGCTTTAGCTAAAGTGCAAATAAACTTTGGATTTCAGTGCCAACATAATCAGCTTCTTTCTTCCTTCCCAGGCACCTCTGTGAGTGTTTCCACCTTTAATCTGGTGGCCATATCTCTGGAGAGATATGGTGCAATTTGCAGGCCCTTACAGTCCCGCGTTTGGCAGACGAAATCCCACGCTCTGAAGGTGATTGCTGCTACCTGGTGCCTCTCCTTTACCATCATGACTCCGTACCCCATTTATAGCAACTTGGTGCCTTTTACCAAAAATAACAACCAGACCGCAAATATGTGCCGCTTCCTACTGCCAAATGATGTTATGCAGCAGTCCTGGTAAGGAGGCACTGTGTTTATTTTTTTAAAATATAACTTGATACATCTGCAGCATGAAAATCTGGAATGCCTTGGCCAGAATACTTGGGGGATCAGGGTCCTGGAGACTTTTTGAGTTGCTAACCCCTAATGAGGCATTCTAACCTCATCCTAGAGTAAGAGTAAGCAAACGCACAGCTGGAAAGCTCTTTTTAAAATGCCATATGTAGATTGCTTCAATCTATTACTATTGAAACCCTATAGGGTAGATAATATCATTGTGCCCATTTTACAGATGAGGGAACAGAGTCCTGGAAAGGTCAAGTGGCCCAAACTCACATGGAGCAGAGCCTCTAAGCTTATCGACTCTGCAGTATGCTTGCAAAAGGTCCAGTGGAGGTTTAAGCCAGGTGACTCAGAAAGCTACAATTTTCTAAAGAACTGAAGATAGAACAGAGAGTGACTCCCAGATCCCGCGTGGCTATTAGAGCTGCATTGTGATGCTTGCTCAGAACACTTGACCAGAGAAAGGCGAGATTCTAATACCTGTTCCTTGGCTTACTAGCTGGGTAACTCTGGGAAAGTTCACACAGTGCCCTAGGCCTCAGGGTCTTCATCTCTGCAAGGGATTAATACAATAAATCTACCGTATTGGGTGGCTCTAAAGGCTCCAGTAAGAACATGAGTAGAAAAATGTCTTTATAAAGAGGCGATACAAATACAGAGCATCATGTTTACTAATTCCAAGCATGTTTTAGAAGCCAGAAGCAGGCATTCAGAAACAGAGGCTCAAGACGGAGATCATCTCTGCTTTCTCTGCCTTCCTCTTTTCATTTTAACAGAGTAGCACACGCACACACACAAAGAACTATGCTACATGGGCTGAGGTTGTGCTCAGAGGTAGAGTGCTCGCCTAGCATGTGTGAGGCACTGGGCTCCATCCTCAGCAACACATAAAAATAAAAAAGATATTGTGTCCACCTATAATTAAAAAAAAAAAAAGAATTATGTTACAAAGGAGAGGGATATCTCTAAGACCTGAAAAGGAATCTTATCAACATGTCCAGTTGTGATGAGAAATGGCCCAGCCGCGGTCAGCCTCTGACAATTTGATGGCCTAATTTTGCAGCTTTACACTTGCCAGGCTGCAGAAGTGATTTAGGGGACGGACTCATAGAGAGGAGGCCGAGGTGCCTCGGGAAACAAATGTGTTTAGAGGAAGCAGAGTTCTACCCAGCCAGGCACTCTACCAAGCATGCCACCGTGGAGAATAAACACCCAAGGAAATCTTTGAGCTGCTGGGGGGTCAGAAAGAGACAGGATGCCATATTTCATAAAACAAAAAGGAGATTTTCTATCACCCCTGTGTAGGCATTTGATTATTCTCTTGCTATAAAGTCAACAAACTGTATATTGTGATGCTTATGAGTAGTAACTCCAGAGTTGTATTGCTTGGGTTCAAATTTCAATTCTGTCACTAGCTGCGTGACTTTAGACACGTTATTTAGGTCTCAATTTCCTCTTCTCTGAAATAGGAATTAGAATAATAGTGTCTACTTCAAAGGTTATTATGGGAGTTAAATGTACTATTTTATGTAAAATGCTTAACCTGGTGTTTAGCACATATTACAAATCATCAAAGAATGTAATCTCTATTATTATGATTATTATTTTTGGTGACATATATAATGTATAAATCACATATTCTCATTTTGAAGCTACTATTATTTTTTAAATGTATTTTTAATTTATTCTTTTTAGATATACATGCCTATAGGATGTATTTTGACATATCATACATACATGGAGTATAACTTCCCATTCTTGTGGTTGTACATAATGTGATATTCATGTATGAACATAGGAAAGTAATGTCCAATCCATTCTACTCTCTTTCCTATTCCCATCCCCTTCCCTGTTATTGTCTTTTTTTTTTTAAGACAGGGTCTCCCTAGGTCACTTAGGCTGTCCTCAAGCTTCTCTACCCTCTGTCCCAGACACCTGACATCTGGGGTCACATGCATACATCACCAAGCCCAGATTTTTTATTATTTTCTAACATGTAAACTTGTTCCGGGCACAAAATCATGCCAACCTTTTTCAATTTGACTCGTCCTTCACAAGACGTTCCATCTAAAAAAAGAAAAGACGAAAACAACTTCTAATGACGGAACCTCCAGACATGGAATTTTCAAGGGTATTAAAGACTAGTAATGAATGTGTCTGCTCAGACCAGCTCAAATAAAGATGCCCCCAGATCATCCCTTCCCATTTGAGTCTGAAGGTCCAGAGTTGCTGGTAATTGGATTTCTTTCAATTTTATTAGGCACACGTTCCTGCTGCTCATCCTGTTTCTTATTCCTGGAATTGTGATGATGGTGGCATACGGATTAATCTCTTTGGAACTCTATCAAGGAATAAAATTTGATGCTAGCCAGAAGAAATCTGCTAAAGGTAAATATCTTTTAACTGTCTGTTTACGTCAAAAGAGCATGAAAGCGTGTTGTCTTGACTTGAGAGGACACACCAGACCGTTCACAGAGTATACTGAAGTCTTTGAAGACAATTCTTATGAAACTCTGTGTCATAGGCCCAGGATTGGTTCCCACCCTCTATTTCTTCATCTATAAGATGGGTAAATAATTCCTTTCAAAAGGGCACCAAGAGGAATAAAAAGAGATAATACACATATCGCCCAATTATCAGCAGAGAGCCACACGTCCCAGACCTTTCGTCCCCCTGTATTCAAGTGGACACCCTGCAATAACCAAAGCTAATTATAATCCTGGCCTGTGTTTGGGTCTCTCCTCTCCAAAGGCCTCAGAAGAGATCTGACCCACACTCCACAAGCCCCATCCTCTCTCCCCCCTCTCATGCTCACTCTGCAGTGACCACAAAGCCTGACCCTTTCCCCCACTCACTAAAATTGTACCAACACCTGTGTTGACATAGCCTCTTCCTTCTCACTCCACCTCCTCACTTGGCTTTTTACTATGTAGATAACTTAGTCTCTGACTTCTGTGGGTTTCCTTGACTCTTTCTCACCATCTAGATTCCTCACAATAAAAACTCTCTGAAACTTAGCAAGCAAGCAGGAGCTTCCCCTGGGGACCAGGAAAGACAGGAAAATTATCTAATAATTTCTATCCTTATACTATTTTGTCCCAGGTATTATTATACATTGTGTCATTCACATATATTATTAAAATCACACTACATTTTATTTGTACACACACACACACACACACACACACACACACACATTAGTTTTAAGTGGCTTTTCATTCCAAGGAGAGAACTAGTACAGATCAATTCTTACCCAAGGTCAGTGTAGGTCAAGGTGGCCTGTCTAATTCTCCAGTTCAGGTTTGTCTTGGCCTCCCAGATGGAGAGAGGCTGAGGCTCCATGCCCTCTGTCTGGCATGACCCTTCCTGAGCAATAAGTGATGTCCCTTGCCCTCCCAGAGAGGAAACCGAGCACGGGCAGTGGCAGCCGATTCGAGGACAGCGACGGCTGCTACCTGCAGAAGTCCCGGTCCCCGAGGAGGCTGGAGCTCCAGCAGCTGTCCACCCGCAGCGGCAGCGGCAGGCTCCACCGCGTCCGGAGCAGCAGCTCGGCCGCCAACCTGATGGCCAAGAAGCGGGTCATCCGCATGCTCATGGTCATCGTGGTCCTCTTCTTCCTGTGCTGGATGCCCATCTTCAGCGCCAACGCCTGGCGGGCCTATGACACCACCTCTGCCGAGCGCCACCTCTCAGGGACCCCCATCTCCTTCATCCTCCTGCTCTCCTACACCTCCTCCTGTGTGAACCCCATCATCTACTGCTTCATGAACAAACGGTTCCGCCTCGGCTTCATGGCCACCTTTCCCTGCTGCCCCAACCCGGGGCCCCCGGGGGCGAGAGGAGAGGTGGGAGAGGAGGAGGAAGGCAGGACCTCGGGGGCGTCCCTGTCCAGGTACTCCTACAGCCACATGAGCGCCTCTGCTGCACCCCGGTGAGCGGCCCGCCCTCCACTGCCCTGGAAGGAGGGGGCCAGGGAGCGGGAGGAGGAGGGAAGTGCAGCAGGCAGGCCCCATGTCCTATGGAAGCCTTCCCTGGATGCTTTTCATCCTTCCTCCAGTTCCAGAAGGAGATGCACTGGCGGGGGAGGGGGACCCTGACTTGGTTTCCAGTTAGGTCAAGGCAAGACATTCCCAGTAACATTCACCATCAGAAAGCCTCAGCAAGCTGGTGGGAGTCCCCCAGGTTCAGGCTGCAAATGTAATTACCAAGCACCTGTTCAAAGTGGAGATTCAGACCCTGCTGAGCTTCAGAAGGTTCTGGAACACCCAAGGTGGGTTCTTGCTTCTGGTAGTGATACTTCTATTCTCTGTTTCTTCTGCTACTGAAGAGCGGTGAAAGCTCCTTGCCCCCAGGGAGTACCCTGGGCTTTCACTACATACAGTAACCTCCACCAAGAGAAGAAAGCAGACCTCCTCTGACCATTTTTGTAGGAAGAGAACAATATGATTTTTTTTTTTTTCATCTTGAAGTTACTCAGGACAGAGGCCCATGTTGTCATCAGAGGAGCAAAAAGAATGTTTTCTGAAACACAGAATTCAGAGCTCATGTTTCCACAAAGAGAAGAGAGTACAAGGAAATAGCCAGATGGAATGTGATCTTACCATACAGAATGTTGAGCAGCAGAAGGTGCATAGGATGTTTTTGCTACTTTCGTGATATAGATTGCTTAACTTCTCCTTTATGTGGTAATTTAACATCATAATTTCTTTGCCTTCACTAATTTTTCATATTCATCTACACTTCCTCTTCCAGAAAGACTTTCCAGGTACAGGAGAATTGTAAGGCCAAGGGTAAAAATGTCTATAGTCAAGCCCCCAAAGCAGACTCATCATAATTGGAGGTAGTCAGCAAACAGCTTTTGAATGCCAACACTGTCTATGTTTCTAAATGCAACTTGCTAATAACCAGTTAATTGTATGTGTGTATATACATTGGACATATAATCATGGTCTTTACATATAAGGAAACTCTTTGTTGTTTAAAAATAGAATTATTAATGGATGTTGGAATTCAGCTAGTATTAATCATTTTATTATCCTTCATGTGAACTTGTTCTTGGCAAAGTTAATGTTGAAACCTCTCTCCTCTAAGAAATATCAATTTAAAACAAGATGTGCATTACACACTCAGATACCAAGAAGTGCATTTCTAGAATAGTATGTACCAGTCTAGTCTACCAGCACTGCTTTGTTTTTCTTTTAAGAGTAACCTTGTCCTCTTTGTTTAGATAAATTAATATGGACATATTTTAAAAAAATGCAGACCACTTTGACAGAAGTATGCTTGCATGCTAGCATGGGAAGTAAACAAGTACACAAATTTTAAAAAAGGAAGTCCCCAGCTTCACGCCTCCAAGTATCTGAGAAGAAGTGAGCTTGTCTTTTGCTTCTTCTTTCAGGGGCCATAACCAAACACTGATCCAGGCCTGATGCTCTGGGTGGTATAGGGTGAGGGATTTCTATTGTCAAAAAAAAAGGTGGAAGGGGAACTGAAGAGCGTGACAAGAAGTGATGGGTAAAGGACATTGTAGAATTTGGCAAAATGTGAGCACTGCTTTTGCTTAATAGCCGGTAATCTACATGAGGGTTTTTAAGCTACAGCATTCCTTCCTCTGACCACAGTCTTAAAGATTTCAAGTAAAAGTTCAATCAACTAAAATGTGCACTGCTAAAATAGTAATGATAAAAGGCCTAAAAAATAAAAATAGCTCCAATATTTGAGTATGTCCTACACTAGCTACAATTTTCCTGTGAGAAGAATAAGTCTTCTCCTCTGGCAGTAATTAGCATATAAATGAAGATAAATTAGTAATCCCCCACTATTGGAAACCTCTGGAAGTTCCAAAGATATGTTATCCTGAAAATAAAGTTCCCAGATTTAGCTAATAAAAATACAGATGCACAGCTAAATTCTAATAGATAAGCAATCAGTAGTTCTTAGCATGAGTATGTTCCATGCACTAAAATACATCTTGCATTTTATATAGCAATGCTACCCTGAAAACTTTGAAAAAACATGTAAAAAAATATATATATATAAGATTCCCAACATAAATTAATTTATTGGTAGGTCTTTCGCTTAAGGGAAGCTTTTTTGTACAAAGAGGGAAAAAAGCTATTAACTTTCAGAATCTGATCTTTGGAAAGGTTTGTTTTGCTGATTAAAACTTTTTTAATATAATGCTCCTCTCATACTTTGCTTACTGCCTCTATTCCAAGCTAAAGTAGTTTACTAATTTGACTTTAAACTGAATCGGCCAATAGAGTTAAGAAAACAAGTACATCAATTTTATGGTATTTTTCCAGTGTCTTTGGTACTTTCCTTCATCACCGGAGTGGTGAGTTAGAGCACTGGAATGGAGAGTTGTGTCTCTGCTCTTTAATTAAATTGTGTGTCTCAGTGACTTCTTGTGCTCCAGTCACCGTGGTAACCTCTCCTAACATACTTTTGGGGGTAAAAAGAGCAGTGCCTGGATTTCCAGAGCTTGGTTACACATGTCCCTGTATGCTTAATAGTGTCTGCTCCGTTCAAGCAAAATGTGATCCCCATGAAATGAGTGATGAGTTGAGCCTCCGTTGTACTTCCCTCCTGTGTTTTGCCAGTAAATGCATACAGTAAGTGTTCAATAAATGTAGTGACTACTGTCACTCCTCCTGTGCTTTGGGTGGCCTCTCTTTCTGTCTGCAGCTGTGGGGAAGACTCATTTGTGGGGGTGGGAGGAGCAGAATTTCTACTAGACTTTTCCCAGTCCATCTGCATCTCACCCAAGATCCTGAAGTGGGACAGTGGGTGGGACCTTTCCCTCCCTCTTCCCATAGCCTTGGCTGTGACCTCTCTCTCCTCGGTGGTGTGTGTGTGTGTAGGTAAAGGGTGAATGTAATCCATGATGTTACTAAAGGGAGGTGTCGTTGCTGTTGATGGGGTAACAAGGGCTGGGAGCTCCTGGTTGGTAGAGTCCTTAGCTCTGATATCCCTGATCTCATTGCCTTTGAATGAGTAAACAGACAGACATTTCTACTTCATGCTCAAGAACCCAGCTCCCCCCTAGCCCACTACAGACTCTCAACAAATGCTTCAAGAATAGAGGATGAGTGAGTGAGTGAATGAATGAAAGAAACTGAATAGATTGTTCTCCGTGCAGGCCCTTCTCAGGCAGGACACGTGGGCAGGGCACACCTTCCCAGCCAGGGCTTCCTGGGCAGTGGCAGTGAAGCTTGATTAGGTGAAGCTGAGCAAGAAGTGGTGTTCTCTTTCCTCCCAACCACACAGTATGTGACATCCAGCACATCTTGCTTGCTAGATTGATGACCCTAAAAACCACTTCTGTGGGTAAAGAGGTAAAGTCCAGAGATCTGTTTCCCAATCTCAGTGACTGTCACTAACCGGCTGTATGATGACAGGCCAAGTCACATCCCCTGCCTGGGGACCTGTCTCCTCCTGTGCATATTGAGGGAGGAGGGGTTGTGGCTTCATATCTGATGCTGTATGACTTGGAGGGGCAGAGTTTGCTGTCCTTTATTGTTCCCCACCCACCCCTTTAATTTCGCTGGCTTTGTATTGGCTTAGAGATTAGAGCAGGTCCTTGACACCCAAGCTTACAAACGCCTCCGAGGAAGACTGTCAGGGAGAGGGGCCAAGTCCCAGAAAGGAGTCTCCAAACTCCCAGCTCTTCTAGTTCACAGCTTCCCAGAGCGACTGGTGGAGGCTGATCCCTGAACACCAGCCCCATTGCAGCTGAAATATGGACACAAAAATCCACTCCCCTAATAAATTTGGCCTAGGAAGGACAGGGACACCAACATTTATTGAGCCCTGGTCCATATAGGCAAGTCTCTGTGACAAAGGTGACAGCAATGAATGAATGTTACATGTGGATTCTTATTTAATTATGCCAACAACACATACAAGGTACCATTTTCCACATCTCACAAGTGAAGAAACTGAGGCTCACGTGTGTGGTAACAGGTCCAAGTCAGATAGCCAGTAAGGGGGGAGGGCAGGAGAAGCCCCATTTTAACTCTCCAGGCTGCTGTTGAGAAGAGGGACATTCGTTATTCTAAGTGACCAACAGATGGCTGTTTAGTGTCCTGTAGTGATTTCCAGTTCCTGGTCCTTGTGTGGTCATAATCTTAGGGAAGGAAGTCCCTGTCTTGCTCCCTCTCCTGCCTTCCCTGTGGATATTTAGCCCTCACTCCAGCCTCTGCCTGTGGATGATCTGAAAGCTGTTTTTGTGCCTGTGTCCTGGATGCTCTTTCTCTGTTTATTTTAGGAGGAAGATAATACACTTGACCACCTCACAGGAAAGCCAAGAGACAGGATCAGTGAACGAGCTTCCACGGCTTGGTAAATTGTCAACGTTATTAAGACAGATCTGTTTTCTCAGAATTATCAGAAAGGAGACAACGCGGGCCAACTCAGGCTGCAGTGTAGATGGCTGGTTTCCCCTTCATCTGTCACCTTTCTGTAGAGTCCCCCTCAACAGGGGATCATGTTTCCTTCCCAACCTTCCTTCCAAATCAGTCAGAACAGAACGATTGCTATTCTCCCACCCTTCCTTGTGCTCAAGTCTTCCCTGGCTGGGAATATTCCCCCTTATCTTCAGCATATTCTCATAAAAACGTACCATTCTCCCTGGCTCAGATCACCTTTTAGCTTCCCCCATAAATCCTCTGTGTTTCTCTATCAGAAAGGATTCTCCCTCCTCTGAGCTCTCAAACATGCCTGTGTATACTTGAGATTTCTAACACCGGCTCGGCTCTCCATCCCACTCCTTACCGCTTGCTCATGAAACCCCACTACACACAGACATCGACCGTATTATGTTCAAGGGAAGAAAAAAAATCCAGTTTCAAGGAATGAATCATCATGGAGCTGTGCCAGACGTGATCAGAGCCTTCCCTCCTGCAGGTTATTGGTTTAAGGGTTGCTTTGTGTTCCAGTTCTAGCCATGATGGCTAAGAGTAGGCTCCCTGGTTTACAAGAGAAAGAAAGCCCTAACTTATGACAAGTTCGCTGAATTCTGCGGTGTAAATATTTCCACCATGGCCAATCTAGAGTTATCAGTGTGACATCGTCCAAACAAGGACCTGGGAAGAGATGGGAAGAGCACACTATTGTATGAGTGCTACCACGCAAGTAGAGGAAGCATAAACCACCAGGCACATAAATGACCACTAAATGTAGTAATTAGGAAAGGATGCATTTTGAATATTTATAACCAGGTATCCTGAAAAATGAAACATCTGACTCTTAGAAACCAATATAAGCCCACATGGGCACACCCCTGGGTTTCGCCAGTGAAGGCGAGGAACAGTTCACACGGGGCTCCTGGGTTTACTGGTCAGCATTGGTTGCTTTGTGCTTCAGTATGAAAACCCCCAAATTTAGCATAGAACATGGAAAATGAAGGTATTCAAAACATGTTTTACAAACAGATCTTCATCTATAAAGTATTCAGGCTAGATCAGGGGTTTGCAAATTTTAACACAGAAAACCCTTTCCCGTCCTCACCCCCAAAACAACTCTATGGAATTCCAAAATGGGAAAGAAAGGAGTGGGGACTTTGAGACCTTTCCCAGTGGGACCTCCTGGGATCCATAGAACACAGTTTGAAAACCAGTAATGTGAATCCACTTAAAGACCAATAATCTGTGACGCTAAGTTGCAATCTCAGCTTTTGTTGGGACCAGCCAATGACTTCAATGCACAAGGTAAAAGTCTAGGACCTTAATTTCCAGAAATGCCAAGCGGTTGGCTTTTGTGTAGAGCAGACCACCTTCCATTATACTCTCAATTACAAACCATCATACATCATTCAGGCCCTCCTGGCGTTGCTGCAAGGCTCTCTCTGTATGGTTTCCTGCCAGAGATGCGCTGGGCCAGAGATGCTGGCTGGGGGCCTGGGTATTGTTCTCTCCAGCAGCAGCAGGACTCCCTGCTGCACACAGAAGCCCATCGTCCCTGGGCTGGCTTGTCCCCGCAGTCACCACAGGCCTCCTCCAGCCAGCAGGGGGACTGGGTTTTCTGGTCTTCCTATCTGACAAATCAAGACCCTAGCATGCGCTCCACCCTTGCATTACAGGACCACATATCCTTAGATCCCAAACCTCCAGTGGAAGGGTTAACTACCTCAGACCTGAGGTCTATCCTACCTCCTGCCATTTTGACTCTGCATTCCTGCCTGATGGAAATTTCCAGAAAGTCTCACCCCTTAGAACTTGCATGATATCAGCTCAGAGGATCAGTAGCAACCAGCAAGCCTGTCCCCAGGCACCTTGGACAGCCTGGACCTCAGTTAGGAGTTCATACAATTCACCCCTCTGTACAAAGGGAAGGAGTCCAAGGGTCTGTGGTGAGAAATACATGGACCCCCTTCCCTGCAGGCCACGGCATTTAGCTATGGGAAGACCTGGGGTCGGTATGTCCAACAGACCTCCTGCCATAGCTGAAATGTGTCCCCCTAAAATTTATATGTTGAGGTTATAGTCCTAATACCTCAAATGTGGCCATATTTGGACACAGAGATGACCAAGTAAAAATGAGGCCATTGGGGTGGCCCTGACACAATCTGATTGGTGTTCTTTAAAGAAGAATAGGACAGTCAGGCTGGGGCAAAATGGGAGGCCCTGGGTTAGCTCCCCAACACTGGGGTGGGTGGGTGGGGAGAATCAATTAAAGAGGAGGACTCACAGAGGAACCACCATGTGAAGAGGTAGCCAAGATGACAGCACTCCTCAGAAGTCGACTGCTGACCCCTTGACCTTGATGTGTCCCCTCCAGACTACTGGGGTGGGGGAATAAATTCCTGTTGCTTCAGCCACCCAGGATGTGCTACTTTGTGATGGCAGCCTCAGCAAATCAAAACACCACCCCACCTGAAGGATACAGGCTGTGGGTGGGGGGGCACTCTCTTCCCTAGGCCCAGAACCAGCCCCAGCTGGTCAGGGAAGATGGAGGCTCAGAAGGCCTGAGGCGGGGCTAAGACCACACACCTGTTCCAGATCCCTCCTCCCTCAGCTGCCTCTGGCTTTCCCGCCTGGTCTCTAATTTCAGTAACAGCCCCTAAGGACAGAGCACAGCTGCAGCCAGAAGACAGGGAGAAGGGGCAAATAAACAAGGGGGACAGCAGGAGGAAAACTGCTAGTGGGGGGTTTCAGCCAAGCTGAGAAATTCTCTAGGGGGGAGCCAATAGATCCGGATCCCAAGACCTGACAAAAAAGCAGGTGTTTTCTTGAATGCGTCCCAGGGGTGGGGTTGCCAGATCACACACAAAATGCCACTTCCATTTGAAGCTCAGATTCACGGTGAATAAATTCTCAGTATGTGCATGTCCTGTGCAATGTATTTTTACTTGCTGAGTCTGGCAGCCCTGTCTGGGGGCCATCCCTAGTGCAGTCATGGGGTCACAGGGAAGGAGGCCTGGGAGAGAAGTAATCAAATATGACAGGCGCTGTGCTGTGGCTGCACACACAGAGGGCATGACCAGCAGTCACAAAATAGATGCTGAGCTGATTTGGAAAGAAGGATAGGAGTGACGGTTCTCCATCACCTCCCTAGCCCTGTGGCCCCTCTTTTGGAGTCAAGTCAAAGATCTCAGATGTTTCTGTTTCCTGGCACACGGCTGCAGAGAATCACCATGAAATTAGTGGCTTCAAACAA